GCGTCCGAGAACGCTGGAGAACCATTGAAGTCCGCTCCGAGACGGCGCAAGCAGGCCTCCAAACACCCCAACACGGTCACATGAGAGCCCAAGACGGCCGCCCAACTGCCCACAGGCGGCCCCATGACTGGCCCAGAATGACTGCGAACAGCCGGCACAAGGCCCAAGAGACTCCCAGAACGATCGAAGATGACATCAAGCGGCCCAGACCCCCGCTGGACGCCCGAACGCGGCGCCAAGGTAATTTGGAAGAGGCGCTAGAAACTTGGACAAATATTGATTTTTCAATGGTTCTCTTAATGTTCGGATGCTCGCTCACTCAGGCTTCCCAGCGTTCGAGATCGCTGGAAAAAAACACCGAAAACCGCTCCAAGACAAGCCAGACGGGCCTCCTGACAGTCCAAGAGGGCTCCTATGAGGGCCCAAGACGGCCACCAAACTGCCCACGGGCGGCATCACCACAGCCCCAAATTGTCTTCTAGACAACTTCCCCCAGAATGCAACACGTGATCTGGAACCACGACTCCCGGTATGGTGGCTCGAGGACCTCCCCACTGGTCGCCGAAAGGCGCCACGGCCGTCTCCAGAGGCTCCCAAGCAGCCCTGACAATGCTTACGCGAACCTCTCCAGAGATTCGCCGCGAAGGAGCTTCCGCGAACGAGTCAGAAGAGGACGAAGAAGCCTTCGCGTGTGCCAATTCACTCGAGAATGAAGAAGATACAATGGACGAAAACAAAAATAAGGAAAGGAACAAGAAGACCAATGTAACCACGATGATGGCGACATGGGCCACCATAAACTATGTCTGCCTTGATCGGCTTACCTCTCTCAGTATGCCTGCACCGTCCACTTACCGGACCAAGGTGCATGGCGCGAAGCGCAAATGCAGTCTTACACATACAGACTATGTATCTACAAATATGTGCATAACTTGTCATATGTACATACAAATCTATACTTGCACATATATATATACATATGTGTGTATGTGTGTATGTTTGTAAAAATCTCTGTGTTGACGCGCAACCGAGGATCTCGACGGGCCTTGGATTTTGATAGTTCCCTCCCTCACGGCGCACACAACTTTCTAGATCCAAAATCCTGCGAGATCATCGGAGGCTCGTCTACGAAACGGTGGCTGAAGGTAAACCCCCTGGTGTGAAATTGCGCCGCCACCATGCTTACAGAACGCTGCCGCTTGCCAGGCCCCCTGTAGTTGTTTGGCGTCTGCTGCGCATTACAACTTTGCGATGCAAATTCCAAGGCCCCTCCCCCAAGAAGAGCACCCCGAACGGCACGGACCGCTACTCCCAGGACCTCTCCCAAGGCGTTCTGACAAGAATTTCGAGGCGAATCCAGCCGTGGCGACGTGGGCCTCCCAGAAGGCTCAGAAAGGCGAAAACCACGGAATGGTAGCCGCATTACTATGTTTTCCTCTGGTAAGAGGCCCCCCAAAAAAACTTGAAGCTGCAAGGGGAGGCCCGAGAAGGCTCACCAGGGCCCCCGTGCAGGCCTAGAAAAGCGGCCAGCACCGGGTGGGCTCACGACGGCCACGGCCGCAGCTGTGTTTGGGAGATCCCCGAGCGGCCGCACCACGAGCCCAAAAGAGGGGTCTGCAGGGCCGGTGCGCCCTGGACGCCGCCCAAGCGGTGCAGGAGCTTCCCCAAAACGACCCCGAGAGAAGCCGCAGGCCGACCTCAGACAGCCCAACAGCCTAGGACCAGCCCAAGCCTGCCCCAAGAGCCCCATGCAGGCCCAAGACCCCCAAAACTGCCCAAGGCCCTCTGGTAGGGCCATGGGCGGCATAGTCCTGGTAGGTTCCCGTGACGGTTCTGGGAGGTCCTGGCTGGGTCCTGGCAAAATCATGTTGGGCTGCTGTTTAGACCATCGCGTGGTAGTTCTAAGTACCAGGTAGGCTCCTGGTGGGCTGTAAGCAGGATCATGGTAGTTAGTGTGCCGTCTTGGTCCTGGCAGCGTCCCGGGTGGCTCCTGATGGGCTCTTGGCAAGATCCTGGTAAGAAGTCCTGCTAGGGTCCCTGCATTCCTGGCGAAGACCTGGTGGGGACCTGGCGATGCCCTTATACGGCACTGGTGAGTTAATGATGGGAATCTGGCACGGTCCTGGCAGGATCATTATTCGGTCCTGGCCGGGTCCTGGTTCGGCCCGGGTCCTGGCAGGGTCCCAGGAGGCTCCAGGCAAGGGACTGGTAGCGTGGGTGGCGGTAGCGTCCTGCAAAATTGCAGCGCCCTGAACCCTTCTCAAGTCTGGCCAGGGTCCTGACAGGGTCCTGGCAGCGCCTGCCAAGATCCTGGCAAGATGTTGCGATGGTCAACAGCAAAACCAATAATGTCTCTATGATCGCGGGGCGATCCTTGGTGGTACAATCCAGAAACACATGACATGGCACGACACGGAAACGCACCCGTAATCATAAGAACAGTCAAGATCCCGACATACGCAATCACATGGCAACGGCAATCATTCGATCAATTATCCCAGTGCGACCCTACCTAGGAGTTGGAGCCTCTCCACTATGCTCTGCTATGCTATGCTATGCTATGCTATGCTATGCTGCGCAATGCTATGCTGGGCTAGGCTAGGCTATGCTATGCTATGCTGCGCTATGCTATGCTGCGCTATGCTATGCTACGCTATGCTATGCTATGTTTTTGCTTTGCCTTCGCTTTTGCCTTCACTTTTGCCTTTGCTTTTGCCTTTGCTTGGCACCCAGGGAGCGCAACTGGGGGAACCGCGCGTTTGCTTTTACCTTTGCTGTTGCTTTTGCTTGGCTCCCAGGGGACTGGGGGAACCGCCCGGGGCGGTTTGCACTGCGCGGCCCCTTTAAGCCAAGCGAGTAAGAACCCTTCTAGGCAGAGCCTAGGTAGGGAACAAGTCATTTAGATACGGAGTTGAAGGAGGGAACGCCACACAGCTTGTCACCGAAACCCCAAGAGTGTGAGGTATTACGTCAGTGTAATAGAGCTGTACGGAATCGAAGAATCATGGATGACCCTGGGAATATCTGCCATCCAATTGGCGGGAGACAACTAGATAATAACGGAGAGGGCGAAGGCAATAGCACATACATCCAACAGGTAGCAGCATACATGACAATCACATATATCATGGCAGTTGCAATCGCTGTCTTTCACATGCCAAATCATCCTTGTACCAAAGGCAACACACTCGCCAAATGCATCTGACGGTTCGAACATCGAAGCGAACTCGAACCATGCACGACCTCGTGCCATCCATCATGGCAGGAACCACACAGAGGCACACGTTCTGGGGGGGGGGCGGCGGCACGCCGGAAAACACGCAGAATAGTGTTGCATTCTCTGGCCGAGGCGTGACGTACCTGCTCTCCGAAAGCTGCCGGTGGATCGGCAGTAGAGGCGGGAAACTCCTGCTCGGCATCTCGATCTCTGCTGGGGCAAAATGATCAATCGAACACATGGCCAAGGGGTGGACATAAATGCGATGGCCACGAGTGGATGGTCTCAAGGTACTGCGGCAACTCCTGCAGAATATCGTGACGTAGAACAGCAAGCGCACCATCCTTGGACACGACTCCGCCTCATCGCATTACACGGCGCGCAACTTTCGGGCATCCGCAAAACAATTCATTGCAAACATAAGCCTGAATTGCTCCGATCAACCTGCATGGTCACTAACGTAAGAGCCCCAATTCGAGAGTTCGATACGTCCTCAAACTATCGTGCGAAAGACACGCTGACAAGCTACTATATACCCGACCATAGCTGCCAATCAATCCCAATATGCTCTCGTTGAACAACAAATCGATGTTCCAGGAACCTGGAGCTGCCGCTCGCCAATCGTGCTTGCCTATGAAGGTACGGCTGTCGAGAGGCGCGCGCACACTTGTGCGGCTTTCCTTTTGCTGAGTTTGGCAATGCGGATTCGGGCGCAACTTGGGAGGACATTGGCTTGGTAGTTGCATGCCCCGGGGTGGCGCGTGACACCGAATTATCGCAAGCGTTTCTTCCTAAAGCCTTTCCTTCGCGAGAGGGATCTGATCGGGGTGAAAAGAAAAAGAAGCACAAAGAGTCCCATAGGGGAGGCGGGGAGCCCCAGATCGCCCGCTTCAGCAGCCGCTCCGCACAAAGCTTTCTCACCATGGTATTCAGGAATCGGCCACTCGGCTCGATGTCAGCCCCATGCTTGGCCCAGACGTCCACGAACCCTTGCAACGGAAAGCGCTGAGGTGCACATGGCCGTGCCCTCACCTCACTACCGGATACATGATTGGTCAGGCCGGCCACGGCCCATTGCAACCTCACTCCTGTCCCCGCTGCTCTCACCCCTGTCCCGCCTCTTGACCTCTGCTGCTTGTTGCAGTGTGCTTCGCTGAGGTACTTTAATTCTTCATTGACCCTAAGAGTAAAAGCTGCGCTTCTTCACTCGACATCCGCGGCCCAACAGTAGAAAAGAGTTCACAGGAAGATCCGTTTCAGACCGGCTGTTTCCTGGCTGCCTCTGCAACCATTTTTGAGTCCAGTCCCAGCATCGCACAAGCTCTGCACTCACATACCCCCGGCGTAAAGACTCACCAGTTCCAGGGATAGTGGGAGCCGCCTGAACCCTCCATGTTTCGAAGAACACAAAATAAAACGGAAAGAGGCGGCAGAGGAGGACCGAGGCCAAGGACGGCTGTATCGTCGAAGAGGATGGATGTGGAGAAAGAAGGGGGATGGAGGTTGGTCGACGATCAGGAAGGACCGAGGTGGATGACGGAGGGGCTGCGAAAGAGGGGGGATGAGAGGAGGGAAGCGGGGAGGTGGAGGGCGGGTAGGTGGAGGAGAATGGATGTCCGCCTCCCAAGAGGCCCAGAATACGCAGCGCGAAAGGAAAAAGAAGAGGGATCGGGATGAGGAGGAAGACGAGGAGAAGGCGGAGAGAGGATGTGGAAAATGGAGAATGACCATGGGGAGGAGGCGAAGCGAGGATGAGGAGCGCGTAAGTGCGCGTATGTTCCAAGGCGCGGGAATGCTCACAGCATGTCCGAGACCGTGAACGTGTGAAAAGGAAACAAAAGAGCGGGATGAAGAGGAGGAGGCTGCGGAAGGCGGCGACGATGACGAGGACGGGTGAAGACTAAAACGGGAGAGGAGGTGGACGGGCTTCTCGCGGCATCTGCTCTCCGAATTCCTTGCAGCCCGGCACATGGGCTCGGGTGCCGTGCCGGATCGGGCCACCACCGAAAACGAATTGCGACGCTGGAGCGTTCTCCTCCTCTCTCCTCCTCCTCCTCCTCCTCCTCCTCCTCCTCCTCCTCCTCCTCCTCCTCCTCCTCCTAATCCTCCTCCTCCTCCTCCTCCTCCTCCTCCTCCTCCTCCTCCTCCTCCTCCTACTACTACTACTACTACTACTACTACTACTACTACTACTACTACTACTACTACTACTACTACTACTCCTACTCCTCTACTCCTACTCCTACTCCTACTCCTACTCCTACTCCTATCCTTATTCCTTATTAGAATATACTCCTACTCCCCCCTCAGGCCGGCCGATAGGGGCCGCATCCGGGTGGTCCCATCCTAACCTGTAAAAAACAATACAAAATCAACATTTTTCTTATTTTTTCCTCTCGACATGGACGTCCTGTCGTCCACGGCGATAATCCATTGCAAAAAATACCACAAAGAGCACACGCGCGCGTTCATGTCAGAATCCTACCGAACACCGTGTGTTTGCAAGCATTTCAACATAAAAACATCAAAAACCCAATGCTTTTTCACAAAAATTGTACAAATTTCCCGCCCGGGCTCTCTTGCTGAAATCATAGGAAAACCATAGGAATCTTAAGAATTCTGTCAAATCCAGCGATTTCACGTCATCGCGCGGTGCACTCGCGATGCTCTGTCATGCACCCAGGCCGCGAATCCTGTGCAAAAAATACCACAAAGAGCACACTCGCGCGTTCATGTCAGAATCCTACCGAACACCGTGTGTTTGCAAGCATTTCAACATAAAAACATCAAAAACCCAATGCTTTTTCACAAAAATGCTTTGGGGTGTCCTGTCAGACCGTCGGGCTTCCTCCGGCCACCTCTGGCTTCCTGCGGTGTACCGGGCCATTCTCGACTCGTCTGGCAATGCGTGCGCGGCATTCAACACGCGCTCGCCAGTTCCCGTCGGCAACCGCCATCGCGGCCGCATCAGCTGTACCAAACCGGCTGGCCGGTGTGACTTCGGCCCCCAGTTGTGCCAGCTTTGCTTCTTATGTTGTGGGAGGGCGGGTGGGACTGGGCATGCCATGCTTGACTCGCTCGAGCTGGCTAGCTTCACTCCTACTCCTACTCCTACTCCTACTCCTACTCCTACTCCTACTCCTCCTCTCCTTTTCCTACTCCTCCTCCTCCTCATCATCATCATCCTCCTCTCCTCCTCCTCCTCCTCCGCCTCCTCCTCCTCCGCCTCCTCCTCCTCTCCCATTCCTTTCCCTTCTAAACAAGAGGCGCGCGTGCCAAGGATCATACAATTTCGGGCGGGAAATAATGGCGATGAAGCCAGTCCTTGGCAGACGCGGGGAAGCGCGCGAGTGCTGGGACACGCTGGCAAACTACAGGTTCGAGCCACGGTCGGTTGGTCGGAATAAGCAGACGGGGGGCCACGGGGCGGAGGGGTGCGGGTGGGGAGCATGGTGACGGGAGGGCACAATCGGGCAGAAGACGGGGGGGCACGGTCGGTCGGTCGGAATAAGCAGACGGAGGCCATGGGGCGGAGAGGGCGGGGGGGCGCACTGTTGGTCAGTCGGAAAGGGGGGGTCAGGGGGGGGCAGCACGGTCGGTCGGTCGGAATTAGCAAACGGGGGGCCACGGGGCAGAGGACGTGGGGCACACATCCCAGCACGTATAGCCGCACACGGAGGCAGCACACAGCCCTGCCCAGTCCAGCACACATCCACGGAGGCAGCACACAGCCCTGCACGTATCCCAGCACACGGAGACAGCACACAGCCCTGCACGCATCCCAGCACACGGAGGCAGCACACGTCCCAACACATGTCCCAACACACATCCCAGCACACATCCCAGTCCAGCGCGCATCCCAGGCACGGGCGGTCGGTCGAAATAATGCAGTGCGGGATCACACCGGCAGGTCTGATACTAACTTCTCTCTGTCGCACCCCGAGGCCGGTCGAAAGGGCGGGCCGGACGTTTCACCTGAGACCGCCTCGCCACTTATGACTTTGAAGCTTAAACTTCTGCAACAGCTTCACAGATGGACGGCGGGTCGTTTTCAAACTGTGGCTCGCGCCCCAGCGCCGCTCATGCTCGTTCGATAATCCCTGAAAGAGCTTCACGGATTAAACGCAGGTGGTATGCAACAAAAAGACTCTTGACTTGACGCCACGCACATTCGATTTAAACATTTGCAAGAGCTTCACGGGTTGAAGGCGTCTCATTTTCAAAATGTGGTTCCCGCCTGAGCGCCGCGAACATTCGATTTGCAAGAAATTACACGAGTTTCACGTATACCCATGGTCAACGTACAGACATGGGGCTTTATAATCCGGATTATGAGGGTGCAACAGTAACGTTGGTTCGCGGTGTTGGAATCCCAAGAACGGTGTTCTGGCGTTATTCAGGCTCGTCGAGACGCAACAGTCAGGGTGATCCGTGGCGTTGGAGCCCCGAGGCCATTTCTTTGGCATGTGCCAGGGTCTTCAAACGGTTGTCTTCCAACGAGGCAGTTCCCCCAGCGGAATGTTTGAACCCTCGCCGGGGCTTATGACGAGGGAGCTCTGAAGGAAGGTGCGTGCCAACATCGTTGATGGCAGTTGGGACTTGGGTTTGCACGGGTCATTATTCTTCTTCTCCTCCTCCTTTTCCTCCTCGCACGTAGCTGGCGCGCCGCGCTGTCTTCGCGCCGCTTGCTTCCGACGGCCGCAACGCCCGCGGCGGAGCGAGGCCCGTGCCTGAGGCACGAGCTGGAGCATCAGGTGTTCGCTCAATGTGCCCTTGGATTTAAAGAGGGGGCGAGCGAGAGCGCGCAGCAAGAAGGCCGCAGCAGGGATGTCGAGAACATTGACACGAGGGGAATCAGCAGAGAAGCCAAAGCAAGCAATGGGACAAGATGGAAGACCATAACCCACAACGCGGGTCCCTGGGAGACGAAATCGAGAGCATTCGGAGAAGTAATGCTTAAACGAGTCTTGCCCTCCGCAGCCAAAACATGCATCTGCATCTAGGCTCGCGAGGATTATGCATTCGTTCGCTGGTGGTCCAGGCGACCGCCAGACACTTCCAAACAGCTTGAGAGACATGGAATGGGGCTGATTACATCAGCCTGCGGAACTCACCCCAGCTAAGCGAGCGACCTTAACCGACAGCTCGGGCGACGGGGTTCTCAAACGCGCCTGGAACTGCTGGCTTAGACTGGGTGGGTGCAGAATGGAATGAATGGCGGCACTCGCGGGGCCTGAAATTGCCGCGAAGGGGGGGGGGGGAAGGGCGGCAGCCGCGGCGGCGGCAGCAGGGCGGAGGAGGGAGCGAGAAACAGACAGGGTAGCCGCGCCAGCATTCGCCAGCTTTCGATCATCTTGGAACCCAGCAACGGCGACCGAGAGATTGGCCGCAAGAAGGGTCCCGACCCAGAAACTGGGGCTCCGGGCTCCGCGGGCGATCCCCGCCAAGGACAAGTGGATTCTGGCAGCCTCAAGACGACCAACCAGCATCCTCCATCCTGGAAAAAGGCAACCAGCGCCGCTCGCATCAGCGAGCCCACGCACGCGGCCTGAACCGAGCCAAGGTTGGGGCCACCCTACTCGGGGAACTCGAACCAACCAGCACGAGAGATGCAGCACAATGGGACATTGAACAAAGATGAGAACATGGCATGCTCACAACGAAGCGTGGGAGACGAGAGACACTCAGGATATAAAGGCAGAGGCAATAATTGGGCAACGTAGGAAAAAAACAGAGAGACATCGCTTGTTGTGCAGATATGTCGAGATGGCTGCTGGGCAATTAGAAGCGGCTGTTTGAATTGCCCTACGCGACCATTTCAGAAGAGGGCCTCGCCAGCTGAGATCTCCCGCGCCAAGTCCCAGCACCAGCCCAAGATATGTACCCGCATATTCGATTCGGAACTCGCGCCAATCAAGAATATTCTCCATCAGCCAATCGAGATACGTCTGCTTCAGCTGCGGCGTAAACTCGCCCGCAAGAGCCCGCAACCAGAGCACTAATGTCGAAGGCGGTCTTAAAGGCTAACAGACATCTGAGCTCACGAAGAACCCCACCGACATCGTCAGCACAAGCCCTCGCAATACTTGCATAATTAGATGCTAAGTCCGCCAATTGATAAAGATGGTCCACGAATCAGTGGGAGGCCAGCGCATGTAGGGCACCAGAAGCGGGGCACCCCTGCAATATGCTTCTCTCAATGATATACAGAAGAGTCGATGTCGGACCAACCACTCCGAAGCAGGGGATGTGCTCATATCACACGTGCAGAAAGAACAAGGACGGAGCAGGCAAGGATAATCGTCCAAGAACTTGAAATAACCATGCATGCGAGATCGATGGGAAGCCCTGACCATAGTCGTACGCCACCAGAACAGGCAGCCTTCGAGCACGAGATGGCTTCGCGGACGCGATTCTGGCCTGCGCGTCCAACTCGAGAACGGCGACCCCGAAATTCCGACCCGACGCGAAGCCCCTCTGAGTGGGATGGGCGAACTCCCCGGGAGCCCGACCGAGCCCTGCACAAACCACAGAGGTAAGAACTTTGTTTGAAGTAACTTTGAGACCGATTGGACGAGTCGACGATGCATGGCGAATCACCACGCCATCAAAGTCCTCCCCCCTGCCCCTTCGGGAAGAAGACGCCGCGAATATAATTGTGAGGCCCCAGCAGACGCTGCCCATTGAGGGCCCACCAGAGGGCCTTATCCAAAGTTTTAATGCCACAGGGGTGATTATTCCACCCAGCGCACGGGGCCACATCCGGACCTGGAGCGCTATGTTGGGCCCTCCCCAAGGCCTTGGATATAGACTGTAGTGCAGGAGGAGGTAGGTGAGCGAGGTCAGGGAAAGCAGGGGCACGTTCATCCAGATAAGCATCGGCAGCAACCGAATCAACATCTCGACGAGTAAAGGCCTCGCCCCAGTAAGAGGACAGGAGAGACGGCGTTTCCTCTGGTGACTTGCTGACCCCGCCAGCGCGTCGAACTGCAGCGAGCGCCATCCTGCGGTCACAGGGCGACCGCAGCCTTGCACGATAAATAACACC